ACATTTGGAAAGGGAACAATAGCCTTTCTCCCTTATACTTCTTAATTTAAGGCTTTAAAAAAGTTAAAATACTATAAATAATATGAATGGAATCAATATGACTAAAATTTAGAGGCTCACTGTGTGCTGGTTAGTACACACACATACACACACACACAGACACACGCACACACACTTTTTCCCCTCATTTATCCTTGGCAGCCACCCTGTGAGGTGGCCGAGGCGTCGCCGTCCACTCTGACGGCTCGGAGAGGTTATTCCCAACTCAGGAGCACGCAGCTAGCCAAGTGGTCAGCCTGATGCCCCTAGGAGAGCCCTGCTGGGCACTTCCCGCCAGCTGGTATGCCTGGCACCCCTCCGGGATGTAATAAGGCATTCAGAGTCCTGGGCTTCAGACTCTGAACAGCTTCATTTGGGGTTCCACATACCCCCCAGATTATCCCAGTTTGCTTTAGAAATACCATTGTTCTTCCTGTATTCCATGACATGAGAATCACTGGTAGGCTCTGAGGCACAGCATTTCACCTCTTTGGGCGTCAGCTAATGGAAGCCTGAGAGCCACAGCTGCTGGCGACAGAAGGTACAGAGCCCGCAGAGCCCCAGCCAGAGTCCTTTCAACATCATCCAGGATGACTTTTAATCATAGACGTCAGATTTGTTTGTCTTGTTGGTTTTTGCCTGAACGTGTGTTCACCTAAAAGTGTGGTCCGCGAATTCACAGACAGTGTGTTTTGTAAACATGAGGCCTGGTTTCATGTGGCCTGGGAGTGGGAGCCCGGGACTGGCCTTTCAGAATATTCTGTGTCAGGTGGCACTGTGCCTTCGCTGCCCTTTCTCGTGGATCCCACACACATAGCAAGAGTGAAAACTAATAAATCTAATTCTAAAAATAATTCTAATGAAATTATTTATTAAGAGTAATAAATAAATCACCACTTGAATAAAAGTCAGGGGGGATAAGCTGAGCACCCCCCCCCAAGGGGCAGCATTTGTTTGAGCTCTGGGTCGAGGTTTGGATGAAAACAGTATGAATACTATCGTCCATAGCGCGGCATCCCGTCACTCCCATCCCTGAAACCTGCACCAGGCCTGTAACTCGTCTCGTGCTCTATTTGGATTCCTGATTGTTGAGTCAGAGGAGGTTTATTTAATGGCATTGGAAGAGTTTCCAGTGACTCCATCTCAAGGATGGTAATTCCCCTTGGATCCCCTCTCACTATCCCCCTGCTGTGCTCGGGGCCTGAGATAGCTTTTGCCCCTCTGCTGACATCTGACACGTGTTGAAGGAGGTGGTGAACAGGCCAGCGGCTCGGGGCTGCATGTCCGTCGGCAGGAGGATGGTCATATTTCATAGCTGGGCTCAGTTCAGCCAGTGACTGGCCCCTTCCCAAAAACCGGCTTGCTTCAGCTCTTTGCTAGAAAGATAAAGAACGTCAGAAAAGCACGGAGCTACGAGAGGGGATTCTTATAGTCACCAAGATCATTATGACGTTCCTGCTGGAGATGCTTCCCTCACCCTCATAGACACACAGAACTGTGCCTGGACACGTGGAACGGGGTTCCTGCTGCTGCGCTGGTGATGGCTGTGTAAGAGCCGTTAATAGAGCTTATAGGATAGATTTGCTGGCCTGCAGTGGGTCCTAGGAACCTGTATTTTTCTGTTGTGCACCCTAGTTTGGAAAGCACAGTCCTCGGACTGCATCAGATTATTATTATTATTATTTTTAGATAATTATTTTTTATTGAAGGGTAGTTGACATACAGTATTACATTAGTTTCAGGTGTACAACACAGTGATTGAACATTTATATACATGATAATTCTAGGTACCAGCTATCACCATACCAAGTTGTCACA